ACAACAAGAGCGAAACTCCGTCTCAAAAAAAAATTAGCCAGGCATGGTGGCGGGCACCTATAATCCCAGCTACTCAGAAGGTTGAGGCAGGAAAATCGCTTGAACCCAGGAGGCGGAGGTTGCAGTGAGCCGAGATCATGCCACTGCATTCCAGTCTGGGTAACAGACTAAGACTCCATCTCAAAAAAAAAAAAAAAACAAAAAAAGGTAGAGGGACTCTCTGTTTTGCGGGCTGCTCAATAAATAAATAATCATAGTAGAAAAATTAGAGCATGATAGGTTGATAGTTATACATATGATTATGCCACAGCTTTTTTCACTTACTGTGGTCATCTTTCTGTGTCAACACATAGGCATTCATGTCCTTCTTTTAAATATTAATAGCTGTCTATTGTTACATTGCATTGGATGCCTTGTAATATATTTAATCAATCTTCTATTAATAGATTGATGTATTTACAAGGTTTTTTTTTTTTTTACTTTTACAATCAGTACATTAGTTACTGTCTTCAGACATATGACATATTATTAGTGATGTTATCTCTTCCCAAGAAATGAGATTGCTGGGTCCAAGGATGTACACATTTCATATTTTTATATACTATCCAATTGTCCTGCCAAAAGGCTGTACCAATTTATACCCTCAAAAATGCTATGTGAGGCTAGGTGCAGTGGCTCACACCTGTAATCTGAGCACTTTGGGAGGCCAAGGCGGGTGGATCACTTGAGCTCAGTAGTTTGAGACTAGCCTGGAAAACATGGCAAAAACTTGTCTCTACAAAAAATACAAAAATTAGCTGGACATGCTGGTAAATGCCTGTAGTCCCAGCTACTCGGGAGGCTGAGGCAGGAGAATCACTTGAACCCAGGAGGCGAAAGTTGCCGTGGGACAAAATGGTGCCACTGCACTCCAGCCTGGCAACAAGAGCGAGACTCCGTCTCAAAAATAAATAAATAAATAAATAAATATTAAAAAAATAAAAAGAATTATTGACTTGACTTCTGGTAAAATCAAGAGGGCCTCAAATGGTCTAGCTGTAAGCTGCCCTCCTGCTGTATTCTGTGGGTAAGGTCCCCTAGCCAATCCTTTCATCAAATGAACCAGGAGCAGTTCCTGCTTATCTCTTAATAGTAGGCTTCAGTTCCCTGCCAGTCTGTAGAATTATTCATACAAGCCAGTTACCTCCCATACAGGAACCAGGGAGCACCTCACTCTCATCACTACAAAGCCTGCCCTCCACAACCCCTGGTTGTTCACTCCATTCCTGAGTGCACCTCCTGTGTGGCCCTGCATGGCTTGTGGTGCCCTTTCCCATTGAGTATGTAACTAATGAACTGCAGTAAATCTCACCTGTCCAGTGTCGGTGTTGTGTTTGGTCACTGCCATCACATGAAAGTGGGAACCCCTCCCTCAGCTATGGGGCAAAGAGGACGTGATTAAAACAAACATTCAAAAGACTAATGAGGCCGGGCGCGGTGGCTCAAGCCTGTAATCCCAGCACTTTGGGAGGCCGAGACGGGCGGATCACGAGGTCAGGAGATCGAGACCATCCTGGCTAACACCGTGAAACCCCGTCTCTACTAAAAATACAAAAAACTAGCCGGGCGAGGTGGTGGGCGCCTGTAGTCCCAGCTACTCCGGAGGCTGAGGCAGGAGAATGGCGTAAACCTGGGAGGCGGAGCTTGCAGTGAGCTGAGATCCGGCCACTGCACTCCAGCCCGGGCTACAGAGCAAGACTCTGTCTCAAAAAAAAAAAAAAAAAAAAAAAAAAGACTAATGATATCCCATGCTGGTGAGGCTGTAGGGAAACAGGAACTCATGTAGCTTTTTTTTTTTTTTTTTTTTTTGAGATGGCAACTCACTCTCTAGCCCAGGCTGCAGTGTGCAGTGGCATGATGACTGTTCACTGCAGCCATGACCTCCCGAGTTCAGGTGATCCTCCTGCTTCAGCCTCCTGAGTTGCTGGGATTACAGGCACTTGCCACCTCACCCAGCTAATTTTTGTATTTTTAGTAGAGACGGGGCTTCACCATGTTGGCCAGGCTGGTCTCAAACTCCTGACTTCAGGTGATCTGCCCACCTCAGCCTCCCAAAGTGCTGGGATTAAGGCGTGAGCCATTGTGCCTGGCCGGTAATACATAATTCTTCATTTCAACTGTTCTTGGTTAATTGGGAGGGTTCTTTTTGGGTACTCATTTTTGACTGATTTTTTTTTGGCATCTGTTATGATAATTGTTTCTTTTTCTCATTTGACAAACTCATGGCTTATTAATTTCATATAGAATAATCTACAATTTTATTTTCTTGAATTGTATGTAGGATTTTCCCCCCCGGAACTGATGAACTGATGAGTACGGTTTTCAGTTTTCCTTTCTTCCTATGCTATTATTAGGAATTGGTATAAGGGGAATTGTGGCTTCATAAAATGAAATAGACAGCTTTCTATCTTTTCTGGGTTCTGATGCAGATTAGTAGGGTGAAAATTATCTATTCAGTGAGTTTGGGAGATTTCTTCCATTAAACTATCTGAGGCCAGAGCCTTTTTTAAATTTTATTTTGGCCGGGCGCGGTGGCTCAAGCCTGTAATCCCAGCACTTTGGGAGGCCGAGACGGGCGGATCATGAGGTCAGGAGATCGAGACCATCCTGGCTAACACGGTGAAACCCTGTCTCTACTAAAAAATACAAAAAACTAGCCGGGCGAAGTGGCGGGCGCCTGTAGTCCCAGCTACTTGGGAGGCTGAGGCAGGAGAATGGCGTGTACCCGGGAGGCGGAGCTTGCAGTGAGCTGAGATCCGGCCACTGCACTCCAGCCTGGGCGACAGAGCATGACTCCGTCTCAAAAAAAAAAAAAAAAAAAAAAAAAAAAATTTATTTTATTTTTTTGACACAAGGTCTTGCTCTGTTGCCCAGACTAGAGTGCAGCAGCACGATCATGGCCCATTTGCAGCCTCAACGTCCCAGGCCCAAGCCATTATCCAACCTCAGCCTGCTGAGTAGCTGAGACCACAGGTGTGCACCACTGTGCCTTGCTAATTTTTTAATTTTTTTTTTTTTTTTTTGAGACAGGGTCTCACTCTGTCGCCTAGGCTGGAGTGCAACGGCACGATCTCAGCTCACTGCAACCTCCACCTCCTGGGTTCAAGCGATTCTCTTGCCTCAGCTTCCCGAGTAGCCAGCACTACAGGCATTCACCACCACACCTGGCTAATTTTTGTATTTTTTGGTAAAGATGGGGCTTCACTAATGTTGGCCAGGCTGGTCTCAAACTCCTGACTTCAGGTGATCCACCCGCCTTGGCCTCCCAAAGTGCTGGGATTACAGGAGTAAGCCACCGTGCCCAGCCCAATTTTTAAATTTTTTTATAGAAACAGGGTCTCCCTATGTTGTCCAAGCTGGTCTTGAACTCCTAGGCTCAAGCCATCCTCCTGCCTTGGCCTCCTAAGGTGTTGAGATTATAGGCGTAAGTAACCATGCCAGCCACCAGAACCTTTTTTGGACATATTTCTTGGATGATGTTTTTAACATCTTTTTTATTCTTGTAATTTTATTTCCCAGAAAATGATCCACTTTATCAAGGTTTTCAGGGCCAGACACAGTGGCTCAGGCCTGTAATCCCAGCACTTTGGAAGGTGGAGGTGGGTGGATCACTTGAGGCCAGGAATTTGAGACCAGCCTGGCCAAAATGGCGAAAACCCTGTCTGTACTAAAAATACAAAAAATTAGCTGGGCATAGTGGTGCACACCTGTAATCCCAGCTACTGAGACTGAGGCACGAGAAGCACTTAAACTGGGAGGCGGAGGTTGCAGGGAGCCAAGATCATGCCACTGCACTCCAGCCTGGGTGACAGAGCAAGACTGTCTCAAAAAACAAACAAACTTGTGTGATCATTAATCAGCAAGTGACAAATCATCTTAAGCAACAAAACAAAACAAAACAAGTATTGATTGGTTCGCTCAACTGATGAACCGAGATACAAATAGTCTAATCTCAGCACTTTGGGAGGCCGAGGCGGGCGGATCTCAAGGTCAGGCGTTCGAGACCAGCCTGACCAACATGGTGAAACCCTCTACTAAAAATACTCTACTAAACTCTCTACTAAAAATACAAAAATTAGCCGGGTATGGTGGTGGCATATGCCTGTAATCCCAGCTACTCAGGAGGCTGAGGCAGGAGAATCGCTTGAACCCAGGAGGTGAAGGTTGCAGTGGGCCAAAATTGCGCCATTGCATTCCAGAGGGAGACTCCGTTTCAGAAAAAAAAAAAAAAGTCTAGTTCATGGTTGCTCTGAAAGAAAGGAAGGTGATTGCATTATTCATTGAACAGATACACACTATGCAGAGTTTGTGTAAATTTTAAGTGAGACTCTGTCTCAAAAAAAGAAAAGTTTTCATATGCATTGGACCAGAGTCAGATATAGATAGTATTCTCTTATTTTCCTGGTGTTCTTTTAAAGATGCAAAACCAGGCCGGGCGCGGTGGCTCAAGCCTGTAATCCCAGCACTTTGGGAGGCCGAGACGGGCGGATCACGAGGTCAGGAGTTCGAGACCATCCTGGCTAACACGGTGAAACCCCGTCTCTACTAAAAAATACAAAAAACTAGCCGGGCGAGGTGGTGGGCGCCTGTAGTCCCGGCTACTCGGGAGGCTGAGGCAGGAGAATGGCGTAAAAACCCGGGAGGCGGAGCTTGCAGTGAGCTGAGATCCGGCCACTGCACTCCACCCTGGGCGACATAGCGAGACTCCGTCTCAAAAAAAAAAAAAAAAAAAAAAAAAAAAGATGCAAAACCATATTATTCTATGAAATAGGAATGGAGACTATAAAGAGAGATTAAGTTGAGATAAAGACAGAGGTGGAATGGAAGTTGGCTGAAAGAAAATAAAATCAAACAAGCAGAATCAAATGTCTTATTGGAGAAAATAAACAGTACTCTTGACTCTGATGAAAATCAAATCCGTAATGGTGAAGAAAAACTTGATATAGTCTCCCAGGGTGCAGAGAAAACAGATTTATTTGACATTGGTGATCCAATGTGATAGTTTTAGAGGACAGGAAAGAAAAAACCCAAATCTTTTCACAGAATGGACAGGAAGAAAACTTTTCTAAGCTGCAAAGAAGACCTCTTTTGTTTCTGGAAAATTAATAGATAAGGCCCATATTGATTTATACTGGCAAAATGTTTGACTTCTGAGGGTAAAGAAAAACCCTTGCAAGCACCAAGCAAACTGCTGACCTTAAACAGACAAACCCAGCTTTGCATTTTCAGTGCCAGAAGACAATGAAATAAAGACAAGAGTTTTGAGGGGGAAAGCTTGAGACTCAAGAATCCTATAAACAGGAAATCACTGTAAAGGCATTCTCACCTAGGGCAAAGGCTTAGGAAATACAACATTCCAGAGTCCCCCCTGAAATCGCCAGTCATGTGAGAGATAGGTCCAAATGAGGAATAGAAAAATTAGAATACAAAAAACCGGCAGTGACATTGAAACCAATTAAATAGAGTTGGCAAAAGCCAAAAACAAGGATTGAAAAAGAATGTGGCTTAAAAAAAAAAGTGTAAACAAAAGCTAGGTCTGTTGTCCTGATTAAGTGGACAAATATAAGTAGTGAGGGCGGCAGGTAGGAGGCAGAAAAGCACATTACATTTCTTATGACATAAAGGGGAATATAAAAACGAATTATTTGTCACTGACTTTACTAATTTGTGAAATGTAAACTATTTTCATTTGATTAAAGGCAGTCGCGAGAAGAATTAAAAACACTTTCTGCCTTGAAAATCACGATAGAAAATAAAAGCAAATGTGGGAAAATTCAGAAAACAGGAATAAATAAAAACTAGAGAATACAAAGTCGTAAGACCAAACACGACACCTATAAACAGCAGAGACGTAATGCGTTAAATCCCAGCCACAGTAGAGACTGCAGTTCTTAGGACAGACCCTGGTGCCTCCAGGCCTTTGCTAGTGCTAAACTCTCGGCCAGGCTTGTTTCCCCACCCTATTCAAGGCTGAGGCCTCAATTCAAGGCCGACTTTCTCCTCCCGGCAGTCCTCCCGGGCCGCCCTAGGCTGAGTGAGCACTCCCCACAGTGAACGCTGCCGGCGCGGGCGAGGCCGGTGCTCTAGGTCCGGGACAAAGTCCCCACCTCACTCCCTCTCACCCCGGATTGCAGCGTGTGGTCTGGGGCCACGCGTTACGCCAGGCGCGGGACAGGGTGAAAGCGTTCAATCCTGCTGGGGTATAATGTGCATTTTTTCCCCGTCGCACCTTCCAGACGGTGATCCAGTGTGAGCAGCAAGTTTCAAATCGTCTCCGTTTGATCACGAACGGAGTTTACTGCCCTTCGACGCCTCCCGCACGACAGCCCGTGGTCCTCGCGCCCGGGCGGGTCGTTTCTCGGCCGGGTGGATCCACCCGCGACGATTCGTCCCGACCCCACCTAGCGGACTTGCAAGGTCCAAAGGCGTCCGCTGGGAGGCCGCGTCCGGAAGAGCTGGCGCGGGAGAGGAATGGGGCTCGGGGCTCGGAGTCGGGAGCCCCTTCACCCAAGCAAGAGGAGCTCCTCCCCCTCTTCCTAGACGTGGGATTCAGCGAGGGCGCGGTTCCATTGGATTTGTTGCAGACGAACGACTGGGCCTAAACCCAAGCCCAAGGGCCTGGGGGGTAACGAGCGATGACCGGAGGGGATTGTGGCTGTCTTGCTGCGCCCTAGAGAGGGTGAGGCGGAGGGGTCCCACGCGCGGGCGGGGCGCAGCGACGAAGGGGTTAAGGCGCCTCGCCCCGCCCCAGCCCGGGCATTGGCTGTCCCGGGGGGCGTGGCCGGAGGGCGGGCTCGCGTTTGCCGCAGCCGCTGGTGGGCGGGGCTCGGGCGGGGAGCAGGAGGGGCGCGGAGCGGAGCCGGGCCCGCGCCGCGCGTCCCGCCGGGCGTGCTTCGGGCTGCGCCAGCGAGCCGGGCCGGTGGCGCCCGTGTCGGAGACCCCGCGCCGGACCCTGAGGCAGCGAGTAAGTGAGGCAGGCCCATCGTGGCATCCCTCCCGGCTCCGACCTGCCGCCGTGCCTGCTGCACTGCGCGGCATGTCAGACCTGACCGGGACTGGGTAGGGGGCGCGTCCCGCTGCTGGGGTCCCAATGGGGAGGGGAGCGGAGAGGAGGCGGATGATGTCATGGATGCTTCGCCCGGCCTGGGAGGAGGTGGCGGCCAGAGGGGGTGCGGCTCGGATTATGTCACCTCTTCCCTCTGCGCCCCGCCCCCCGGGGCCACACGCGTTGGTGGGGAGCCTGGGGAGGTGCGGGCGGGATTTCCCCCATCGCAGGGACTCCTAGGTCCTGTGGCCTGTGGCTGGGGTCTCTATCAGTTGGCTCTGCGGGCCATGGGCTGCTGGTGAATGGCGACCCCCCCACCCCCAGCAGAAGCTCGTGTTTGCGCGCGTGTGTGTGCTCGGGGTGGAGGGGGCGCTCTCGGCCCCCTCAGTCCTCAGTCCGGAAACACCGGCTTCATCAGAGCCAGTAGCTAGGTGATGGGCCCATTCCGCCGCCAGTGCTTAGGCCACCGAGGGAAGATGGATCTCCCCTTACTCATCCCAACCAAGAAGTTCTGGATATCTCTGCACCCCAAAAGCCCTGCAGTGCCCCCAGATCCCTTTCCTCCCTCCGTCCTGCTTCCTGGAAACCCCTTCTGCTCCCCCTGCCCAGATTCACTGCCTCTTTGCATGGCCCATAACTAGCATTCCCACAGGCATTTGCCCTGCATTTCTTTGGTGCAGGGCCCAGAGATCCCTAGGACTCTGCCATCTGTGCCCCTGGGAAACCTACAGGCCAGACATGGGGATGCCTCAGAGTGAAATCTCCCTGGAGTGACCTGAGCCAAGGGCTCCAAGACGCCCCCTCGGGTGGGTAGAGATCAGGGATGCTGTCCTGAGGCCAGCCTTTGGACTGGTCTAGAAGCATGTAGGATGGTCACAGAGAGCTGGCAAGAGCTTGTGTGTGAAGTAGAGAGGGGCTCAGGTCAGGGGAGATAGAGGAGGGGCATCAGGAGGGGCCTTGGGGACCCTGCTGCAAGCTCTACTCTTGTTCTGGGGACCAAGAGGAATACCAGGCGTTTCACCCATTATACATTTACTTCTTAAAATGCCTGCAAGGTAAGTGTGAGAACTCGAGGTGAAATTACCTGCATGAGGTTGCACTGCTAATCAGTCCAGCTGGGATTTACACTTGGAGCTGATGCTGCCAGAACTCTGTCTACTGCACTTGATCCTGCTCGTGGAAGGATCTGGACAGAGCAGGGGCAAGATCAGCTTTGCCCTTTAGAAGGAGTTCCCTGGCAGCTGCCTGGGGGAGGGAGTGCAGGAGAAGAAAGTCCATTGAGGAGCCCCCAGCAGGGGTGCTGGATGGAGGGGCTGGCTAGAGATTTTTAGGAGATAGAATGGTCTGGGGTTGGGGCCTCTGAGACACCAAGTGTTCCTAGCTTTGGGAGAGACACAGGTTGGGGAGTGGGTTGGAGGTACCTATACATGTAACTCTTAGGTAGAGTCCGTTTGGCACCTTCATGACGCTAATACTGTGTATAATGCCCCAGGCACTGAGGGCTGAGGTGACAGAGATCGAGGCAGTTGGACAACAGGCTGTCATCCCAGGGTGGTGCACTGATGCCAGGAGGCTGCCTTTGCAGACCATGCTCAGTTACCTGGGCCAGTTCAGGACCTTTCCTCTTGGTTCAGTTCCTGCTTATCAGGGAAACATCCTCTTCCTTGTCCTGCCAGTGCCCTACTGGGATTTTGTGGAAAGAAGCTGCAGCAGTCAAAGCTTGGGAGAGACAAGGGGCAGGGCATGTTTGCAAGGGGTTAACCATGACAGGTTAAAATTACGACAAGAAGCTCTTTAGAGAGTGAGGCTCCAGAGAGATCTTCTGTGGGTTGATAGTCAAGCATTCCCCAGGTAGAGCACAGAGAAAGGAGGCTCAGGACAATGGTCCTGGAAACTTGTTTCCATCCACGACTCGAGGCATCTGAGACTTGCTGGGGACTACACACACTCTAGAGAAACAGTAGGGCAGAGTGGCATATGACCAGCCCCAACCTATGCTCAGGTTATCCTTTCCCGGATTTCAGGGAAGGTAGTACTACATGTTTGTATTGCCCCTTATAGTTTACAAAGCACCTTCCCAAACATTATACCCTGTCACTCAAGATCAACATGATCACTGTTGAGGTTTATTCCTGCCCAGATCCAGGTCTCTGGTGCAGCCACCTTGCTTTCCCCTTGCCTAGATCTTTCATCCCACTATTGGCGCCTTCCCTCAGCATATTAACACTCAGGTTTCTACCATGGTTAATTTTAAAATTAAAAAAGCCCTTGAATCTCAAATCTCCTTAAATGACTGCCTTCTCTTTCAGCAGGAACTCTGCCATGTCTTTCTCTGCACTCCTCTAACCTTGTGGACTGCCTTTGTTTTGTACCACGTTTTTGTTCTGTTTTGTTTGTTTGTTTGAGAGGGAGTCTTGCTCTGTCACCCATGCTGGAGTGCAGTGGCGCAATCTTGGCTCACTGCAACCTCCACCTCCTGGGTTCAAGCAATTCTCCCACCTCTGCCTCCCGAGTAGCTGAGATTACAGGCATGCGCCACCACACCCAGCCAATTTTTTTGTATTTTTAGTAGAGACAGGGTTTTGCCCTGTTGGTCAGGCTGGTCTCGAACTCCTGACCTTAGGAGATTCACCTGTCTTGGGCCTCCCTAAGTGCTAGGATTACAAGCGTGAGCCACCGCCCCGGCCTATTTTTTTTTTTTTTTTTTGACATAGTCTCACTTTGTCTCCCAGGATGGAGTGCAGTGGCATGATCTCGGCTCACTGCAACTTCTGCCTCCTGGGTTCCAGTGATTCTCCCACCTCAACCTCCTGAGTAGCCGGAATTGCAGGCGTGCACTACCACGCCCAGCTAATTTTTTGTATTTTTAGTAGAGACAGGGTTTCACCACGTTGGCCAGGCTGGTCTCGAACTCCTGACCTCAAGTGATTTGCCTGCCTTGGCCTCCCAAAGTGCTGAGATTACAAGCGTGAGCCACCACATCCGGCACTTGTACCACTTTTCTGAAACCATTCTGATATAGACGTTGGTGATGTCTTCAGACCGGCTCCTAAATCCTCAGCACACTCTCCAATCCCAATGTTACCTGGCCCTGTTATTTTTGACACTGGAAACTGTCCCCATATTCTTGAATCCCCTCAATCTTGGCCTTCAGGGCCCACTTTCTCCTGGCCTTCTTCCTGCTCCCAGAGTGCCTCCCAGACTTCTGGGGCTTTGCTCCCTGGCCCAGTGCGGGACCCCACCCTCAGCACCCTTGAAAACTGATGATGTCAATTTCTCTCCATCTAGTGCTTTTTTTTTTTTTTTTTTTTTTTTTAAGACAAAGTCTCGCTCTGTCACCCAGGCAGGAGTACAGCGGTGCAATCACAGCTCACTGAAACCTCTGCCTCCTGGGTTCAAGGGATTCTCGTGCCTCAGCCTCCCAAGTACCTAGGATTACAGGAATGCACACCACGCCCAGCTAATCTTTCTATTTTTAGTAGAGATGGGGATCCACCAAGTTGGCCAGGCTGGTCTGAACTTGGCCTCAAGTAATCTGCCCACCTTGGCCTCCCAAAGTGCTGGGATTACAGGCATGAGCCACCTTGCCTGGTCTCCATTTACTGCTTGAGAGGTATCTTTCTCTGATATTTCCCAAAGCAACTATTTTCCCCAAGCAGTCTCACCCTATCATGTTAAGAGTGTCACACCCACCCTGGTGCCCAGTCCAGAGTTCTCCCTTGTCCCCACCGCCTGACCTCATCTGTATGAAATTTTGCCAGTTCTTTCCCAAACCCTGCCCAGGCTTTCCTACTGGTTCCAAGCCTCAGGCCTTTCAGCCTTCATCCTCTCAGTCCGCAGCTGCTCCCCACATTGCACCCAGAGATGGCAAGGGAAGGGGGCCATGCTTAAGGTAGGAGGGGGTTGCAGGGCTGAGGCATAGCGGGCTGGAGTATGCTGGGGAGTAGAGGCAGAGCAGGGACTAGAGTGAGGCCAGAGAGGGACCCAAGGCACAAAGGGAAGGAGGCTATCACTTTCAGGGTTGTGCACTTGCTGATTGCACCCTTCATTTGGCTCTCTGTCCTCATCCTAGTCCTGGCCCTTGCTTATGGGGACAGACAGGTCCAAGGGAGTAGGGTGGCAAAGTGCTCTTCTCCACACCTGTGGGAACAGATGCTGAGTATGGAATTCTACAAAGACAGTGGACAAGCTTGGTAGTGAACTTTCCAACAACCTAGAGCTCTCATTCCTGGTGTGGGGGCCAGAAGACTCCTGAAGGACAACAGTTTTGTCAGGTTCCCTTGGTCTGGGCCAAGGATACAGCATTAGAACCCAGATGCCGTATCCTTGGTCTGGGCCAAGGATAGGGTATCTGGGTAGAAGATGGTCTGTGGGGCCATCGGGTGCCACGTGGACCCCTTAACTTCATAGGGAAGGAGGGCTCCCTGCCTGGTTTATGCAGGGTGTAGTGGGAAAAGGCCTGAAGGGCACCCCCTTCCATTTCCCACACACTTATTTGAGGGTCTAACCCGAGGCAGACACTGCCTAGTGCTCCTGCCCGGCTGCATTATGCAGATCTCTGGGGCAGGTGTTCCCAGGTGCGAACTTGAGACAAAGGAACGAGGAAGCAGGGCCTCCCTGAGCACAGGTAACCCGAGGCCTGGCTCCCACTGCGCCTGTGGGCCCGCCTTGGGGGAGGGGGACGTGCACCCACAGAAGGGCTCAGAGGGCTTCATGGTAAGCTGAACAGGGTCAAGGTCCACAGGGAGCGGGAGAGGGGAGTAATCCAGGAAGTCTTCCTGGTGGCAGTGAATTCTTAGCGGGGTTCGGCAAGCCCAGGATCCTCGGGGGCGCTGCAGGGTGCGCGGCCCCTCCCCTCCCCCCGCCCACCTGTGGGAAACGCTGGCCCAGAGGGAGGCTCCGTCAGCGCCAGCAGCTGGCGCCACTGCGTCCCCTGCCCCGGCCTCAGCCAGCCCTGGGACCTCTGCAGAGGACTGATCCCGGGAAGGGGGCCCTGTCTTAAGACCTTGGGGCGGGCAGGCCTGCCACCTACTGCAGCCGCGGCCCCCATCCGTCCGCGGGGGACAGGGCGTGCCCTTGGCGGCGCCCACCCGCGACCCAGATGCGCACCGCCTACCCACCCTCCCCAAGACTCCCGTTTCCTCAGGCGCTCGCCGCCTCGGGGCGCCTGGCACGCGGCAGCCCCGCAAGGTAGGTCCTTCATTCCTCCCATTTCGCAGAGGAGAAAACTGCAGTCCGGGATGGCTCAGTCGGCCCCTCCAAAGCCGCGCAGCTGGTTCGGGCCGAGCCCCGACTGCGAGAGTGAGGCACATGGCCCCTGCAGACCGGGCCTCGGAGGGTCCCAGGCTTGAGGACCCGTCAGCCCCTCAACCCTTTGGAAAGGCAAGGAGAGAAGCCTGCGCTGGTAGTGAGCTTCCACTTCTGCCCTGACTGCAACACCTTAGGTTAGGGGGCTGGGAAGGACCCCCACCCTCAATTTTTGGATACGAGTGTATTTCTCTCCCTCCCCTATCTTCTGAGGTTGGTTCCCTGTTGGATTCAGGTACTGCTCTCCCCTTCCAACCCCATTTCCCCAGCCCGTGAGGTTCGGATGTTAGGGTCCCAGACCCAGGATAAAGAACCCCAAAATTCTGGGGTTGCAGCAAAAAGTTGAGAGGGTCACTGAACCTGGGAAGCTCATGGCGGAGGTGGGGCTAACGCAGAATTTTAGGAATGGAATGCTGAGCTGAGCTGAGCAACGGCTGGGGGCTAGGTGCATGGAGCCCTGGGGGTTGGGCTTTATCAGGTGGGCAACAGGCAACCCCCATTCCCAAGTTCTCTCTTTTATCCCAGCCCTATTCCTTCACCTTGGATGCCTGAGGACTTTTTGTACCCATTGTAAGGAAGGGGACACTGAGGGGCAGAGTGGTGCTGGGTTGACTTGGCTGGGGTGGTGGGAGTAGGAGTAGGGTCTTACCTATTTTTGCCTTCCTACCTGTGCCCACAGTGCCCCCCTGGCTTAGTCATGGCGAAGCTGGAGACACTGCCTGTGCGCGCTGACCCAGGGCGGGATCCTCTCCTGGCCTTTGCCCCACGGCCCTCCGAGCTTGGACCCCCGGACCCCCGCCTGGCCATGGGTAGCGTGGGCAGTGGGGTGGCCCATGCCCAGGAATTTGCCATGAAGAGCGTGGGTACCCGCACAGGGGGAGGGGGCAGCCAGGGCAGTTTCCCTGGCACTCGAGGCAGTGGCAGTGGGGCCAGCAGGGAGAGGCCAGGCCGCTACCCCTCAGAGGACAAGGGTCTCGCCAACTCCCTCTACCTCAATGGCGATCTGCGGGGCAGTGACCACACTGATGTCTGTGGCAACGTGGTTGGCAGTAGCGGTGGCAGCAGCAGCAGTGGTGGCAGTGACAAGGCGCCACCACAATATCGTGAGCCCAGCCACCCACCCAAGCTCCTGGCCACCTCTGGCAAGCTAGACCAGGTCAGCCTTTTTCTGGGGGTGGGAGGCAACCCAGAGAGGAAGGCAAAGTGGGCCTTCTTGGAGGTTGGGTTGTAGGGGCAGGATGGAGGCTGGGCTGGGGAGTCATGGACTGGGGACCTGGGGCCAAGTCTAGCGGGTGGATCAAGGACAGAGATCTGGCATTGGGGAGCCATGGGGTAGAACCCCAGATGAGGGACCTCAGGATGGAGATCCAGTAAGGGTGGGAGGTGGGGCTGGACAAGTCTCGGCCAGAGGGAAGAGCCTGGGCCAAGCCCAAGGCCTCATCCTGATGCCCAGCCCCTTCCTGCCTTTCCTACAGTGCTCAGAACCACTAGTTCGGCCATCGGCCTTCAAGCCTGTCGTACCCAAGAATTTCCACTCCATGCAGAATTTGTGCCCCCCGCAGACCAATGGGACTCCTGAGGGACGACAGGGCCCTGGTGGCCTCAAAGGCGGACTGGACAAGTCCCGGACCATGACTCCAGCGGGCGGGAGTGGGAGTGGCCTCTCAGACTCAGGCCGGAACTCCCTCACGAGCCTGCCCACCTACAGCTCCAGCTACAGCCAGCACCTGGCGCCCCTCAGTGCCTCCACCAGCCACATTAACCGCATTGGCACTGCCAGCTATGGTAGTGGTAGTGGTGGCAGCAGTGGTGGGGGGTCGGGCTACCAGGACCTGGGGACCTCCGATAGTGGACGGGCCTCCAGCAAGAGTGGATCATCGTCATCCATGGGGCGGCCAGGCCACCTGGGCTCTGGGGAGGGTGGAGGTGGAGGCCTACCTTTCGCAGCCTGCTCACCGCCCTCGCCCAGTGCACTCATCCAGGAGCTGGAGGAGCGCCTGTGGGAGAAGGAGCAGGAGGTGGCAGCTCTGCGGCGCAGCCTGGAGCAGAGCGAGGCGGCCGTGGCCCAGGTACTGGAGGAGCGTCAGAAGGCGTGGGAGCGGGAGCTGGCCGAGCTGCGGCAGGGCTGCAGTGGGAAGTTACAGCAGGTGGCCCGCCGTGCCCAGCGTGCCCAGCAGGGCCTACAGCTGCAGGTGCTGCGTCTGCAGCAGGACAAGAAGCAGCTGCAGGAGGAGGCAGCCCGGCTGATGCGGCAGCGGGAAGAGCTGGAGGATAAGGTGGCCGCCTGCCAGAAGGAGCAGGCAGACTTCCTGCCCCGGATGGAGGAAACTAAGTGGGAGGTGCGGGCTGGGGATCTGGGCCTCCCCCCTCTGCCTCCCTTCTGTCCCTCTGGGAAACCCCAGGGCATTTGCCCCTCACTATCATAAGGGGGTGGGGGGTGGTGAAAGGAGCAGGGGGGACAAAATCAACTGGCAGTGCCTGTGAGGACCGGAGGCCATCCCCTGGGTGAGACATGTCCATCTTGAGTCCAGGCAGGTAACCCGGTGCGTCGCTGCGGATGAGGGGCTGAGCCAGCAGCCCCAGGAAGCTTGGTGCCCCTGGCTCCAGATCTGGTAGCTGGGTTGGGGTGAGCAGAGCTCTGCCTTTACCTGGCTTCTCCTCTCACCTGTTCCTGCCCAGGTGTGCCAGAAGGCTGGTGAGATCTCCCTCCTGAAGCAGCAGCTGAAGGACTCGCAGGCGGATGTGTCGCAGAAGTTGAGTGAGATCGTGGGACTGCGCTCACAGCTGCGGGAAGGCCGGGCCTCGCTTCGGGAGAAGGAGGAGCAGCTGCTCAGCCTGCGGGACTCCTTCAGCAGCAAGCAGGCCAGCCTGGAGTTGGGCGAGGGCGAGCTGCCTGCTGCCTGCCTCAAGCCGGCGCTGACCCCCGTGGACCCGGCCGAGCCACAGGATGCTTTGGCCACCTGCGAGAGCGACGAGGCTAAGATGCGCCGTCAGGCCGGGGTGGCCGCTGCCGCCTCCTTGGTTTCCGTGGACGGGGAGGCGGAGGCTGGTGGGGAGAGCGGGACGCGGGCCCTGCGGCGGGAGGTGGGGCGGCTGCAGGCCGAGCTGGCGGCTGAGCGGCGGGCCCGGGAGCGCCAGGGTGCCAGCTTCGCCGAGGAGCGCCGTGTGTGGCTGGAGGAGAAGGAGAAGGTGATCGAGTACCAGAAGCAGCTGCAGCTGAGCTACGTGGAGATGTACCAGCGCAACCAGCAGCTGGAGCGCCGGCTGCGGGAGCGTGGGGCCGCAGGGGGTGCGAGCACGCCCACTCCCCAGCATGGCGAGGAGAAGAAGGCCTGGACCCCCTCCCGCCTCGAGCGCATTGAGTCCACAGAAATCTGATCGACCTGGGCACTCGGCCTATTGACAAATGTCCTGTCAAAAGGCCACAGTCCCTAGTGTCCCCTACCCTCCATCTCCCCCATAGATCCCGTATCCCCAGACCAAAGAGGTTCTCTAAGCAGCTGTGACCAGGTTCCTCCCTCCCCACCTGCCCTTCCAGCTCCAGCACTGCCCCCGTGGCAGCCCACTTGGACCCTCCTAAAAGGAGGGAATAGGGGGAGGGCAGGATGAGCAGGGGCAATCCTAGGTGGTGGGGGAGTCATGCTCCCTTTCTTGGCACCCTCTTGTTGGAGATGGAGGCAGCAGGCCTGCAGTGCCATAAGGTGCCCCAGTCCTTCTGGGGGTCAGGGCTGCTACTGTTGGGCCACCCTGTGTCCAGTGATGCTCTCTGTGCTCACCTCCTAGGCCAAGGAGCCTGAGGGGGCCTGCACTGGGTTTGCTGAGACTGACAGACCCTGGGCTCCAGACCTCTCTCCCTCCTACAGTGCTCTCCCTCCCTGGGCAGATTGGCAGGACAAGTGGGAGCAGATGGCCTGCCTTTGGTTGAGAGGGCTACCTGCCCAGCCCCTCCCCCCAAGATCTCTTGGGCTCAGGCCTCAGAGCCTGGCCTGGTCGTGAGTGTGTGTCCCTGTGTGTGTGTTGCGGGAGGGGAGGACTGGGGCTGGAAGTCCGGCACCCAGGGAAGATCTGTCCTCCTGTTCTTGGAAAGGGTTGCCTGATGGCTTCTCGGCTCTACCCTCGCCCTTCTGGCCAGGATCCCGCAGGGCAACAGCCCCATCTGCTTGGCTGACCCCACACCCAGGGCCACTGTCCGGCTCCAATACAGCTATTAAGTACTACCTGCCTCTCAGGCACTCTCCTCACCCAGTTTCTGAGGTCAGACGAGTGTCTGCGATGTCTTCCCGCACTCTATTCCCCCAGCCTCTTTCTGCTTTCATGCTCAGCACATTGTCTTCCTAGGCAGCCTCTTCCCCAAAGTCTCACCTTTTCTTCCAGTAGAAAATTCTGCTTGACTTTTGGTGCACTGCCCACTTCCCAGCTCCACTGGCCCAAGTCTAAGCCGGAGGCCCTTGTTTTGGGGGTGGGGGGAGAGTTGGATGTGATTGCCCTTGAAGAACAAGGCTGACCTGAGAGGTTCCTGGTGCCCTAAGGTGGCTCAGCATCTACCCAGGGTAGGCCTGGCATGAGGGGTTAGGTCAGCCGACGTCAGCTACTTCTCTTGGGGCCCTCTCAGAGTCCATCTCCCCAAGACAGGAAGGGAAAAGCAAATTTCTAATTCACCAGCAATAAAAATTGGAGGAGGCTTGGCCCTCAGCCCTTGTATTTCTCTCTTTTTCACTCTCTCTTCCTCCCACCCCCAGGACTGAGTTTTGGGGGGCAAGGTGGAGAGAGCTGGCAACTACTGTGAGCAAGTCCCCTAGCCCCTGACCAGCCTCCTCCCATGACTGGTGACTGTTTAATGAGCTGTGCATCCCCCACAAAAACATGAGTGCCCCTCTGTGTGGCCTCTGACCCTTTGCACAGCCCTTCTGGGTGGTCCTCACCAGGTCTCTGAGCTGGGTGGGAGGCCATCCTGGCAACCACTGCCCATTCCATTCACCCCTCACTGCACCTGCCCTAGAACCTGGGCCTAGGCCACAGGGGCAGGGAGAAGAGAAGGCATTAGTAAGAAAAAACTAGAAAAAAATATGAACAGACTTAGCTTTGGGACGTCCAACCACAAAAGAAATTATATATAAATATATATAAATATATATCTCTACCATATGTGATGGAAAGACTTTTTGTTTTCCTTTCCCAAAGAAATAAAATGGAAAAAGCCTCTCGAGTGGTATTCTTTGGCCTGTTTATGTCTTTGCAGGTGTGGGAGGTGAGGCCCGGGTGGGGGATGGAGGCAAAGCTGGAGTAAACAGATTTCCCAGAGGAGGCATGAGACTGGAGGTGCTCACTGGGCCGTGCTAGGAGGTTGGCCCAAAGCCCAAGCTCTGCCACGTTGCCTGGGAAGAGTTGTGGTGCCACGTATGTGCCCAGTGGGGCTTTCTCTTCAGCTCACACCGTTGTCAAAGGGGTTTCAAGCTCGTTCCAGCTCAGAATCTGGACACTAAGCTGCTAGCCAGAAAGCAGATGATGTAGGACAGCTAGATGCAGCCTGCGGTCGTCTAAGCCACCATACAGCAACTGGTAGATGTTTGCGGGTTGAATGGATAGAAGTGAAGAATGGGAATAGGTTTGCAATTAATGGTGAAGCCCCGAAGGCAAAAGAGACCCAAGCATGCTGCACAGCAGAGAGCTTCCCTTTACAACAATTCCTCTGTCATCCTCTCAAAGCACCACAATCAAGAATGCATTCTGTTGTAAGTAACACAAAGGACCTCAAAGAGTGGTTTATTTTTCCCCAACCTGACAAGAAATCTGGAGGTGGGTGTCATCGGGGACCTAGATTTTCATCCTCCCACTGTCCCATCCTTAGCATGTTATTCCCTCCTTACCACAAAGTGGCTGCCACAGCTCCATGAAGGCATTGAGGCTGCCCCACTTTATCATGAAAGTAAAAGCTTTCCCAGAGCCCTCCCAGGACCCTTCCCTTTAAGTCCTGTTGGCCAGAACTGAGTCACATGCTCCTCCCACTTCAAGGGAGAATGGAAAATTGAGCATTACAAAGAGAAAAGGATTGTCATGGCTGCCTGGGAACAAACATGGTTCATTCCTTGGGGGTAGGCACTCTGCTTTCTTTGGGTTCTACTGGCAAGGACAGAGTCATAACAATGAATAGTGTTTGCCCTGGTCTGGCCTGAATGAGAGAACCCTCCCTAAGCAGTGGTGTCTGCGGTCTGGAGCTCCAGATATTCAAACAGCGCTGTCTCCAGAGATCAGGAGTTGGGATGCCAGGCTTGCCCCTCCTTGCAGGGACGTGTTCTCCCTACATTGATTTTGTCTTCCCAACAGGATAGTGCCCTGGAGGGAGCATGATTTCTCAGCTCTCCTTCACCCCGCTTGGGAGGTGTGGACTGGTAAAGCCAAGGCATTGACAGGATATGAAGACCCTGATCAGCATATCTCAAGTGCCCTCAGGAATGGCAGCCTGGGGCCAGGCCTTTCTGATAGGTAGAGGCTTAGTAGAGTCTCTTTCTTGTCTAGGTACCTGTACTGACAGCTGTGTCAGTATATGTACCCAGTAGGACCCAGCCCTCCTTCTTAGGGTGGTGGAGAGTTGCCCTGGCTCATGCTCCATAGCTCTGGCCTCCCTAAGCTCCAACTCCACATCTATTTCTCTCAGCAGGCTCATCTATCCATCATGTCACTAGCTCTTTTCCTGGGAGCACTTTACAGATACATCTCTATTATACATGCATTTTTTTTTTTTTTTTTAAAGATGGAGTCTCACTGTCGCCTGGGCTGGAGTGCAGTGGTGCAATCTCAGCTCACTGCAACCTCTACCTCCTGCGTTCAAGTGATTCTCTTGCCTTAGCCTCCCAAGTAGCTGGGGTTACAGGCGCCTGCTCCCACGCCCAGCTAATGTTTTTTGTATTTTTAGTAGAGACAAGGTTTCGCCATGTTGGCCAGGCTGGTCTCCAGGGATTACAGCTGTGAGCCACCATGCCTGATCAATGCATTGTTAAAATTAGACAGGTATGGTGGTGCATGCCTGTGGTCTTAGCTACTCAGGAGGCTGAGGCAGGAGGATCACTTGAACCCAGGAGGTTGAGGCTACAGTGAGCCGTGGTTGCACCATTGTACTCCAGCCTGGGCAATGGGGTAAGACTCTGTCTCAAAAATAAGTAAATAAATAAATAAAAATAAAAATAAATACATGTATTGTTTTTATCACTGTACAGGCTTAGAGAATTTATGTGAGCTGGGTGTGATGGCTCATACCTGTAATCCCAGCACTTTGGGAGGCTGAGGTGGGAGTACTGCATGAGCCCAGGAGTTTGAGACTAGCCTGGGCAACATAGGAAGACACTGCCACCCCCGTCTCTATGAAAATAATAATAATAATATAATAAGAATGAATTTGTGTGGCTTCCCCAAGGCCATAAAACCCTGAGTGGTGATCCTCAGATTTGAACCTGTGTCTAAGCTACTTACTTTTTTTTTTTTTTTTTTTTTTGAGATGGAGTCTTGCTTTGTGGCCCAGAGTGCCCAGGCTGGAGTACAGTAGCAGTATCTCGGCTCACTGCAACCTCCACCTCCAGGGTTCAAGCGACTCTCCTGCTTCTGGAGAAATCTCCAGGCTGGATTATAGGCGTGCGCCACCACACCCGGCTAATTTTTGTATTTTTTTGTATTTTTGTATTTTCATTTTTTATTTTTTAAGATGGAGTCTCACTCTGTCACCCAGGCTTGAGTGCAGTGGTGCGATCTTGGCTCACTGCAAGCTCTGCCTCTCATGTTCATGCCATTCTCCTGCCTCAGCCTCCCGAGTAGCTGGGACTACAGGCGCCCGCCACTACGCCCAGCTAATTTTTTTGTATTTTTAGTAGAGACGGGGTTTCACCATGTTAGCCAGGATGCTCTTGATCTCCTGACCTCGTGATCCGCCCGTCTCGGCCTCCCAAAATGCTGGGATTACAGGCTTGAGCCACCGCACCCGGCCTGTATTTTTAATAGAGACGGAGTTTCACCACCTTGGCCAGGCTGGTCTCAAACTCCTGACCTCAGGTGATCCGTCCGCCTTGGCCTTTCAAAGTATTGGGATTACAGGCGTGAGCCACAGCGCCGGGACTAAGCTGCTTAATGACTTCCAGAGCGATCCATTCAGGAAGGTGTTTTCCCTCTGCAGGTCCTAGACTCCCCCTGTCCCCTCAACAACGTCCTCCAGTGGAAAATGTCCTTGGGAAACGCTGACAAAGTCTTTTGAGCCTCGGCCGCATCCGTTACTCGCGCAGCAGGCGGAAGTAGCGGGCAGTTGGCCGGAAGTGGGGTTGTGAGGCCCGGAGTCGCTAGAGGAGAGTGTCTGTGTCGCCGCCGCTGCCACCGCCCGCTGCGTTCCCGGTTTGGTGTTGCGGCGCCCACCTTCAGGAGGATCAGGTAGGTGGCGGCGGCCGCTTCCCGCGTTCACGACCGTCCTGGATCTTGGCCTGTGCCTCCTGGCCGGCCCAAGGCTGACACGCACCGAGGCCTTATTCAGCTCTTGGCCGGGGTTGCGATTGCCTCTCGCAGGCCTGACTGGTGAGAACTTCAGTGACTCTCGCCGCTCCTGAGTTTGTGATCTTTGGCAAGGGGCTTATCTGACCCTTGTTTTTTTTCCTCTGTGAAATGGAGATCGTAACAGTACTTGTCTCACGGTGCTGTTATGAGAATGTAGTTAGATATTCTGCCGCGCCTCTCATCCCACTTTGATGTGCCTGCGAATCGCTTAGAGATTCTGATTCTGTAGGTCTGGGGTGGGGCCTGAGATACTGTGTTCCTAACTAGCTTCCGGACGAGGCTGAAGCCTCTGGGGCGCAGACCACACACTGAGTAGCAAGGCCCTACAGTATGTTGCTTAGCATTCGTAATGCGGAGTCTTCAGTAAACATCAGTATGATAGAATGTATACTTTCGCCCCATTTTTAGCAGTTTTTGGTTGCACAAGCCTAAGGGTAGTATTGATGGCCTTCTCCCTTTTTCTTTCCATGGGTAAGAATAGTTGCTCTTTCTCTTTCTGTGCAAACCGTGACACAGCTCTTCTGTCTTGGCTCAGGGAACTTTGGGTCCCCTCATATCAACTATGTTCATCAGTCTCGGGTGATGCTTCACTGATTAGACCCTTGGACAGTGCTTCATCCTGTGGAGCTGATAGCCAGCTGCGTTAGCACCAGCTGTGGCTGGCGTTTTGTGCTGCAGTCATTTGTTGCTGCTGGAATCTGAATTCACGTTTTCTACACTGTGAATAGTAAGAATGGCCGCCTTTCCAGAACTAGATTCTGCAGCTCACTGACCTGAATGGTCTTGGGCAAGTCCTCGGATAATTTGCTACCACCTGGTAGACTAAAATGAAATCTGGGCCGGGCGAGGTGGCTCACGCCTGTAATCCCAGCACTTTGGGAGGCCGAGGCAGGCAGATCATGAGGTCAGGAGATCGAGACCATCCTGGCTAATAACGATGAAACCTCGTCTGTACTAAAAATACAAAAAAATTAGCCGGGCGTGGTGGCGGGTGCCTGTAGTCCCAGCTACTCGGGAGGCTGAGGCAGGAGAATGGCGTGAACCCGGGAGGCAGAGCGTGTAGTGAGCCGAGATGACGCCACTGCACCCCGGGCGACAGAGCGAGACTCCGTCTCAAATAAATAAATAAATAAATAAAATCTGAAGACTCTGTGCAGCATAACGTAACTTAAAAAGTGAGGCCTTTCGCAGTTATGCAGGTCTAATGTTTATTAGTCAGTATGCTTTTCTTCCCCATCCATTGGTTTTTTTTTTTAGTTCCTAATAAGGCCTTGTCACTCATCATGTGAATAAGTCAGCTTTGATGTAAAACAATTCTAAGGTCAGGTGCAGTGGCTCTTGCCTGTAATCCCAGCACTTTGGGAGGCCGAAGTGGAAGGATTACTTGAGCCCAGGAGTTCGAGACCAACCTGGGGGCAACATAGGGAAAACCCGTCTCTACAAAAAAAAACAAAAAAAAACTACAAAAACAAAAAACCAAAATGTAGTCAGGCGTGGTGGCGCACTTGTAGTCCAAGCTACTTAGGAGGCTGAGGTGAGAGGATTGCTTGAGATCCTTGAGCGATCCTCGCCCAGCGGGGTGGGTGGGTGAGAGGTAGGGGGCGGTGGTGGAGGATGCAGTGAGCCAAGATTGCACCACTGCCCTCCAGACTGAACAACAGAGTGAGACCCTG